ATGGTTCAATACAGACTACAGCCTTCTTGGCTCTTTCATTAACACAAGGAGTTGCAAATTAAATGAAACAGCCCCTGCTGGGGCACTGTATCAAAATCAAACACAAATTAAAAGTCAAATGGAAACTTATAGAACAAAACAGAAACTTACTAAATTAAAATAACGTTGTCTGGGTGATGATGCACCCCATGCCCTGCGGTGCCCAACAGTCTCTAAAGGCCTCTACTGTGCCAGTAAGCACTGCATGTCCCTTTCCAGGGACACCTGAGCATGGAAGTAGCTGCAAAAGAAGGGCAGTCAGTCAGGAATAACAAGTCCCTCCACAGGCTGCTGCCTGGACCCATTGATAGCCACCTTGGCCAGGCCCAGAACCAAAGCCATAAGAAGGACTTCTGTCTTGTCTTCCCCTCCCCAAATCAGGGGTGCCTGTAGATCAGGAACTTGGGACTGAAGTGCAACCAAAATAAAGGAGCCTTCCTGTCAAAACAAAAAATGGAGACACTTAACACATGAAATACCGTCTTCTCCAGGCCACAAAAACTATTAGCTGTGCTTCTAGACTTATCATTCCAATATTCTCTTGGCTTGTCCCCATACAGACCCTCCAACTAAATTCATCCAAAACTTTTCTTTATTACATAAAGAGCAATAATACCCGCACTTGAATAACCGCAAAGAAATCACACAATAGTATACGGATAGGAAATATATGGAGATGAATAGGTTACCTGGGCTGACAAAAAAACTTTTTTTTTTCTAAGCAATTCTGAATTGCTAGTGTTAACCATGATTCATTTGATTGCATTCTTAGTTCTGATCAGAAAGTTATAGTCAGAGTAATAGAGATACACAGCACGGAAACAGACCCTTCGGTCCAACTCATCCATGCCAACCAGATATCCAAAATTAGTCTAGTTCCATTTGCCAGCATTTGGTCCATATCTCTCTAAGCCCTTCCTATTCATAAACCCAACTAGATGCCTTTTAAGTGTTGTAATTGTACCAGTCTCCACCACTTCCTCTTGTCAGCTCATTCCACACACGCACCACCCTCTGTGAAGAAGTTGCCCTTTGGGTCCCTTTTAAATCTTCCCCCTCACACCTTAAACCCGTGCCCACACATTTTGGACTCCCCACCCTAGGGAAAAGACCTATCCATGCCCCTCATGATTTTATAAATCTCTAAGGTCAGTGCTTAGCCTCCGCTCCTGGGAAAATAGCCCCAACCTATTCAGGCTTTCCATATAGCTCAAACCCTCCAACCCTAGCAACATCCTTTGTAAATCTTTTCTGAACCCTTTCTAGTTTAATAACACATTTCCTATAGCAAGGAGGCCAGAATTGAAAACAGTATTCCAAAAGTGGCCTAACCAATGTCCTGTACAGCCATAACATGACCTCCCAACTCCTATACTCATTGCACTGACCAATAAAGGTAAGCATACCAAATGCCTTCTTCACTATCTTGTCTATCTGCAACTTCACTCTCGAGGAACTATGAATCTGCACTCAAAGGTCTCTTTGTTCAGCAACACTTCCCAGAACCTTACCATTAAGTGTATATGTACTGCCCTGATTTGCCCTATCAAAATGTAGCACTTCATATTTATCTAGATTAAACTTCATCTGCCACTCCTCGGCCCATTGGCCATCTGATCAAGGTCCCATTGTACTCTAAGGTAACCTTCTTCACTGTCCACTACACCATCAATTTTGGTGTCATCTGCAAACTTACTAACCTTACCTCCTATATTTACATCCAAATCATTTACATAAATGACAAAAAGCAGTGGACCCAGCACCCACCTTTGCAGCACACTGCTGGTCATTGGCCTCCAGTCCGAAGAACAACCCTTTACGTGGGTTCATATCCCATTCCAGAGATTTGAACACAAAATTAAAGCGCATCACTGAGGGAGGGCTTCACTGTCAGAATTACTCTTTCAGATGATATATTTGTGGATATGGAAGATCAACAGAAAGATGAGTGGCCCCTGCAGTCCTGGCTCACGTTTACCCATCAATCAACATTATTTAAAACGGATTAATCTAATATCACATTGCAGTTCGTTGGCGTTTACTACATGTACATTGGCTGCTGTTTCTTGCATTAAAAAGTGACAGCACTCAAAGTATTTAATTGACTGTGAAGTGCTTTGGCATATACATTCATGTGGCGGTTACCATAACTACTGTAAATGGTTTATCTGCAGCAACAAACCAGTACGCACCAGAGATTTATGCCCTTAGACTACTCATAAGCCTTAGAAACATGCTTGAATCAAGATAGAAAAGAACTTCAGGAACACACTAGTCATAGGTGGATGATGGTTCAATACCGTACTACAATAATTGAGTACATGCATATTCTTTGCACAAAACTTGTAATCAAAGTGACAGCTTCAGTAGGTAGACAACAGACGTAAAAAGGCACTTTGGAAAATACTGTCCATTGCCAGATAATAGCTGTAGAGCAATTAAACAGATTGCATGAAGGAATCGAAATGTTTTGTTAATACGTTGTTACAAGATCACTGATGATTTGACTCTCAGTTTTGAATTTAGATCAGCCCTTGCATAACACTTCAGATCTAAAGACAGCTCTTAGTCCTTCAACAGTGGTTTTCATATACCTTAATTAAAATTTAAAGTAATTGTTTTAAAACGAGTCAAGGTAGATTTCCAGGAAGGGTAGTTACAGGTTTGAGTATCTCACTACTTTTAGAAATCCCCTTTACTCTTAAGATTAATATCATGATGCATTGATGAATATTCACCTAGAGTAGATGTCACATTATCTAATTGAAATTAAGGCACTATTGCACTCCAAGATTTTGGCACCTTCTGCACCGCAAATTTTCTATATTGCCTTTTGAAAAGAATTGTGTAACAATCTCCTTGTCTTGGAACAAGGATAATTTTCTACAAACAGCTGTACAAAACATAACTACTTCAAACAAAGCAACTCCAAGTAAATGAGGGAGATTCAATCACTTCTCTCCAATTTTTGTATACATCAAGGAAAGACTTGAGTCTTACACTTCCTCTGACTGCTTCCTTTTCTACAGTTTCTGTTATATAAATCATAGAATCATAGATTGTAAAGGACTTAACGTGATTGATTGCTTAGAAACAAAAGTTTGTCTCTAACCAAAAGTACTGCCAGACCAAGGTTTATAGAATCAGAGCAATGTCTCCGTGCTGGCGTTCTGAAAGATGATTTGAATTCAATCTCTCCACTTTTGGTCTGTAATCTTATAAATTTCTCACTTTAAGTGCTTGTCCAACATCCTTTAAAATTATTTAATGAATCAACTTGCCCATCATTTTTTAAAAAGAACTGCTGTACAGTGGAATTCTGATTTAACACAGGCTTGTAAACCACAAATTTGCTTAACAGTGGAGATTTCATGGCTCCGGACACCTTTCTCTGACCTGGCCCCGACCCAATTCCCTATCTCTGGTTCAGTTATAACAGTTTCATGTTTTGGATCCTGATGACCATATTATAAACCACCGTATACCCAATGGTCTCTCCAAGGTGCACGTGCACTGAAGTACAGCAATCTAGAAAGTATCACACAGCTGATCATGAAGTGTCTGTTTAGGATAATATATTTGCATTATCATGCAAAGGTAAAATTAATGTACATTGTAATAAGCAAACTGCATAACAAAATAAAACATCGTATACATTTGCCTCCATGTTTGCTGCTTTGGGTGCCTTGGCAAGCAAGCTTAATTCACCCTGTGGAAGAGTTCTGAGGAAGGGTCAGCGGACCCGAAACATTAACTCTGTTTTCTCCTTCACAGATGCTGCCAGACCTGCTGAGCTTTTCCAGCGACTTTGTTTTTGTTCTTAATTCACCCTCATAGGGCTGCACTGAAGATGACGATTTCATGCCTAAAGATACTTGCTCCAACTTCACTAGTGGATCAAAACCAAGGTGGACCAAGAAAGCCAATATATTGCATTATTTAGTTACCCACATTGGCTATTCCCAATGCTTGATTAATAAGAAGGACAAAGATAACAAGTTACAATTTATTTTTGAAACATACATTTTGAAATTTGCAAAATGTTAGACAAACATACTAAACATGCTAAAAGTTGAAATTTCACCAGTACAGCACTATTTTGTCATAGGTTTACAATAGAGCACAATAAATACAATACCGTAAGCACTTTTAAAAAAAAAAAAAAGGTGCTTTTTAAACATTTTTCCTAAGACTTTAGTCACTACTATGCAAACATCATTGGTATTGCAGATCAATAAAATTATGCAGAATCTTGCACTAATGGCAAAATGAGCTTCCCAATAGGGGTATTACCAGATGTTGCCATTGTTCCAGGGTGCTGAAAGAGAAATAGCATTTTTTGATAAAATGGGCTAATTACAAGACAATGATGAAGAGATTTGATTGCCTACATAAAAATGAGCAAGATACTTTTGCATTTTAGTTGATTTAATCCAGAATATATATACAGGTGATCTTGTACTGAAAACAACAGGAGTTAACACTTACAAGTTCTGACTGTACTCCCATTTTAAAAAAAAACATGATCGAGGTGTATATATATATTCAGTACAATCCTGCTTTTTGTACCTCACTTTAAATTATATCTCCAAATGACTGGATAAGCATTTCAAATCTATTCAAACGAATATTGTATAAAATAGATTGCAAACTACTGACAGGTAGCAACATTATTCATTACACATTAAGTCTATGAAGGTAACAATAAGATGCAAAAGCATGTCAACTCAATGCCATTATAACAACTTCCACTTAAACCTAAGTTATTAAACTATTAATTTCATGTGAACTTAGATTGTAACATTCCACATACAAATTTATATGTGGCATAAGAAAAAGTGCACGTTTGTGCTGGTGGAGTAAAAGCCCTTTGAATTTATGGAATGATGGGTGGCCATTTCCCTGTTTACTTTCCCATCTGAATCTTAAATGTTTAACTTTTAAAATAAAAACCCTTACAGTTTGGCAAAGCTTTTTTTTAAATCAGAGAACCCATACTTGTCCCTCACAATGCATATCAAATCAAAGCGCATTATTGTTTATCCAAGCTTTTGTTATTTTTGCATTCAAACAACAGTTAAATTCCAAATATTACATTATTGTTCAGTGAAACCAAAGAACTATTATTCCAAAACTTCAGTAAAAGTAGCAAAATACATCTTCAACAGGTAAACAAAGTACAAATTTCACAGCAAGAACTTTCAACGGGTCAGTGATCAGCAGCCTTCACTGCAAAACAAATATTCTGTATCATTCACCCTTTACATATTTAATACAGTGTGTTCCTCTGCAAATGGAATAGCACCTCAAACACAGACCGATGTCCCAGTTACTTAACCCGTATAGTCCTTCACAAAATGTCAGTTCACTATAAAAGGTTTCTAGTAAGTTTACCTGACAGACCACCTGGCTGGATACACAAGCTAATTGCACCTACTTTCAAATGCGTTGCAGGCTGAGGACAGTTAACTCAGGAGAGCTGAAATCAACCTACCATTGGGACTGATTATATTACACAGCGCAACTACTCATTGGAACAACTTGTTCGAGCACAGTTTAAGAAATGAACATTCACCATTTCGGTGCTGATGCATTAAAGACAAATGGGTGATGTGACTGATTTTTATCTTAGACTTCAATTTAATGTTTATTGTAGCTTCACTATGCAATGTCACTCAGTACTGGTTCAGGAAAATCAGGTTTTTGCTATAGCTGTGCGCAAAGTGGAACCTATGCATTTGGCTGGAGTGCTTGGAGTCATTACGGAATCAGCCTGGTTGGGTTGATATCGAAGAGTTGCATCTTAAAAAATGTCTCACAAAGCTTGCATCAATGTCCCAGGCAAGTTTTATATACAGCAGTTATATTGAACATTAATATAATTTCAAACCCATAATACAACATTCTATACAGCACACTTGTACTAGACAACCAATACTCTTACTAATAGAAGAACTGTCATGGTTTAAGAACATCTCCTTCAAAACAAACTTCAGAAAGAACAGCAAAAAGGAGTCAGAGGCCAAAGTAGCATTATACCATGTCACCATCATCCCTGTACCCATAGGTTTTTCTACCCTCAGTCGAAATCACAGTTTCTACTTTGCTGCATTTAGATTTACATATTAATTTATATTAGAATGACTGTTCCATGGAGACATTTGCTCAGTAATCAAGACAATACATAAATCAGGAGGAGGCAAAAAGGATCGTATTAATGAAAAAGGGAAAGGTGCATTTGTTTTGAAAACAAACTTTCTTGGTTGGATCAACTCTTTTCTGGAATAATAAACACTACAGCACCATGTACCTTTGCATAAGGCTTTCCAGCAACCTTTTACAGGGCATCTGTACTCAGTAGCTGAATGTGATCTTTCCAAAACATTAATTTAAATGCAGAATTCCATGCATGAAATAAATAATTTAAAATATAATAAGTTAACATTTTGAGCTGAAATAAAATAACATTCTTTAGCATAATATTCACAAAATGATTCTAAACTACCGCTTTTACTGCTAGAATGTTATTCCATTTGTGAAAACTAAATCTTAGTTAATTTTAATCTTCAAACTGTCTTTCTATATTATGAAAGAGGACATAGATTACATATCAAAAGGGAAATCTTCAAATACCAATAATAACAGTAGACAGCATTGACCTGCTCAGTTTCTGGTAGTGTGACAAGCATTTAGCAACTGTTCCAGCAGAGGGAATTATCATTGGACTACCCTTTTCCTTGTAGTTAAGTCGATTTAACATCAATCCTCCTCTTATCAATCCATTTAGTTTTAAGCCATGTTCAATGTATCTGGATGACTTCATCCCAGTCCTGGATAGGCCAAATTCCATTTTCTTGCACATTAGCTGGTGAATTTTTCCAATCCCAATTGCTTATAGGAATTGCCCAGTTCTTGCCATAGTTTGCCTCCACATATGGGAGTGTTTTACAGGGGACTCGCACTTTCAGTTCCAGAAATTCAGTCCAGCACAGGGTAAATTTAGGAAAAACATATCTGCAAAACAATTTGATAAAGATAGAGTAAACAAACAATACCAGTAAGATATTTTGTACAAAATCAGCAGATATACAAACTGCTGGCTGCTTTGCGGAATACCATCATTCAGTACACAAGAGCGATCTCAAACTTTTGAGTCGCCTGACATTTTAATTCTCCACATAGTTTTCACTACGACCTGTTTCTGGCCTCCTGCAGCATTCTAATGAAGCTCAACGCAAGCTTGAGGGACAGCACCTCTTTGGACCAGGCACATTTAACACTTTTTGGACTCAATATTGAATTTAAGAAGTTTAGTCACAATCTCTGTTCTCACTTTGTTTCATGCTCCTTTTTTTGGCCTGTTTCTCCTAATTCTTTTGGAGTGCAGCTGTTCAGGATCCTAATATTTACGGCTCTTGTGGCCACATCTTTTGTTTCTTTATTTGTCCTATTACCATTCTCTTTGGTCTTTCCTTTTGTCATTCAATCTCTCCTTTTATTCACTAAATCCCTTCTGTTTTTTTTTCCTACACTTACCCCTTCCACATTCTCAAAACCCAATACACCACTAACTGTTCCCAGTTCTAATGAAATGTCATAGATCTAAACATTAGATCTGTTTCTATATCAACAGAAGCTGCCCGACCCTGAGTATTTCCAGTGTTGGGTGCTTTGTAGCTTTGGCAGTATCCTAGATAATTTGATGAAAATCATCATTTAGCTATCTTAACTTCTTAAAACAATTTTCTCATTAATAAGAAGTTACAATACGCTATAATTCACTGGTTTCTGTGAATCAACCATTTTGACAGGTCTGCACACTAACCATTTATTTTGCAACATCCTCCAGTCATACAAACTGAAGGGTATAAATGCCTACTCCAGCTATTTCTTATGTTCACCATCCTCTCTGAGAACCCAACGTTCCCTCAATTCATGTCTCCTGTATCCCTTCATTTGTTTTGTTTCACTTTTTAGCAGTCTTGCCTTCAGATGCCTGGGCTCTAAGCGCTGGCATTCCTTCCATTAACTGCATCACCTCTGTCTTCGAGATACTCCTAGGAACTTTGAACAAGTTTATGGTCATCTGTCCTAATTTCTGCTTATGCACCCGAGTGTCAAAATGTGTATTATAACCCTCCTGTGAAGCAAAACAAAATGTTTTGGTCAACCTTTAAGGTGCTTATAGAGATGCAATGTCTTATTACTGATGTGAACTACATGCTTCTAATGGAATATTTAGCATGTTTTCTCCCAATTCCAGGGCAAACTCTGATGAAGAGTCATTTGGACTCAAAACATTAGCTTGCTCTCTCTCCACGGACACTGCCTGAACCACTGTGATTTCCAGCAGTTTTTGTTTTCAGTACAGATTCCAGCATCTGCAGTAATTTGCTCCCAGAGAAATAGTTCAACCAGCAATGAACCTGGTCTCAATCCCAAGAAATCTGGAAAGAATTGCTGCTCATGCTGAGTTTATTCAAACCGGCATGGCCAGGACTGAATATTTAGCCAGGTGACTGGCACTTGTGCTTTACACATTAAGATAAACATTTGGTTAAGTGTTTGCAACTTGAACAGTAAAATAACAAATGAGGAAGAATATCATCAATGGAAATCAACACTTTTGGAGAAAAAAAACCTTTGGTAATGCTTGGCTTTTTGCAAAGCATCACTAAAAATTTTGGAGTTCGTAGGAATGATTCAAAGTGTGATTAATATTAAGTTGAAAGCAATTTTAGTTTACATCAAGCAGTAAAATAATTTATTTTCTAATCATCTTATGTACTATTTCATAAGGAGGGAAAGTGCTAGAGTTCCATAAATATGCAACTGAAAAGCTGAGCATGCAGACTTTTTCCTATTCGATACAGGCAAAATAGTGTGGATATCAAAGTACTCATATGATCTGCAGATGGTTTTTGCAAACAAGGCATACACAAAATGGGGAACAGAAATAGTTATTCCTGTAATATTAATGATCCTTGAAGTCAGTTTTGACTGAAACATCTTGTTTAAAGATTTTAGTATAAAAACAAAAAGGGGAGTAAATTGGAAAACAATTATTATTTGCTTGGAAGCCAGGTTTTAAAAATTTATTGTTAAACTAAAAAGTTGTTTTGTAATCAAGTCACTGTTTATGAGGCACACCAACAAACTACTGCTTAATCTTTGGATATTTTTTTAAAACTGAAAATAATGGATGAACTGATGTTTATTATTGGTGTGACAACCACTTACCTGCCCCTATCAACACTGAATAAAAGAAAACTATTGAACATTACGCACACTGAACAGTTCTGATCTTACTTTTATAAATGGATGCCCTGGTTTGTGACCTGAGTCAGTCAGAGTCTGTAAAAGCAAGATACCACATGTGTTGGAAATCTGAGATACAAACAACGTGCTGGAGAACCTCACTCCAGTTCTGAAGAAATGTCATACCGGACTCAAAACATTAACGCTTTCTCGACAAATGCTGCCACACCTGTCGAGGTTCTCCAGCACTCTGAGTCAGAAATATAATCTTTGATTGATTCCTTCAGTATCAATATTAGGGCACTGCTGTTCTTGCTCCACACCCAAATCAGAATGAATGAGAGACCCACATACACTGCATTGTAAAGAAAACAGTCAAAAAATTACCCTGATCCCCTTTGGGGAAAAAAAATCAAAATTGTACAGACTATAGAAATCAGGATGAGATGTGCATACAGAGCATCAGTGATATCTGTACAACAGACATGTACACATACAGCATATATGCTGCCATTACAGATGCAATGTGTGCTTTTCGGTCCTTACTTTCATGAACTGTGAAATCAGGAACAATAGTTAGCAGACATTATTTCACAATGTATCTGTGCAGGGGAAGTGTGAAGGAAGCGGCAAGTGGGAGGATCTGGCGAAGTTGCAAGACTGAGCTCGGTTGGAAGAATTAAGAGTTAGCAAGATCATTTTCGGGACAGTTAAATGCCATCATGGTAGGTTTAAAATTGAACTCAGCAAATCTGCAGAGTAATTTGAGGACTGGGGTTGGTATGCATTCTTCTTCCATACTTTCTTTAAACTATCACATACAGATTTTTGTTTTCACTAACGATGGGCACACAAATTAGGAACAGGAGTATCCATTCGGTCCCTCGAATCTGCTCCACCATCTGCGCATTACTTTGATATTGGTGCACAGAATGAAAATTCAATCCACACAAGAATGGAAAATAAAAAGGAGATGTTGACCACAAGTTGAAGGAAAGAAAAGCTGTTCACAACATACTTGAATTTTTTGCCAGTTTTGGCCTGGGTTCCTCCATTCCACATGTAATCATCCTCTTCATAGAAAAAGAATATATCCAATTTCACATTTGCTGCCTGAAAGGAAAGCTCAAGACTGTCATCTTCCTGGAAAAGAGAAAATAAAAAACAAGATCAGACTGAATTAATTTTACACCTCATAATAGTTTGATGAATCTGGGATTAAAGGCAAGAGCATCCTCACATTGGTACAAAATTAAACTTTGTCTCAAATATCTTTGAAAACATACCATCAATAATTCTACTAACTATTAACATAATTAAAAAAGATTTTTTGTTGCTAATCCTGCTGTTTAATTATTATTGGGCCTTTGGGGTTGGAGCAGCATATTCCAGAAAATGGATGAAACCTTTAAACTCTCATGATGCATCTCTCACTCTCAAGCTCAGTCAAACATACAGCATGCTAATAGGTTAAAAAAAAAGTTTAAGAGCCCTGTGAAATAATTTAAAAATTGGGTTCACAGCAGAACTCAAGCATCAGAATTCACAAAATCAGGTATACACTGGACAAACTTCTTGGAAGCACTTCTAACAAGTAAATTCACTTTTTCCCCAAATTATATTATTATTAATATTTATATGGTACTTTAAGTAATATCTATTCATGTAGGAGGAAACATCATGGATAACTGAAGAACTGCCTCATTATACAGTAGTTGTCATTTGTTGGTTTGTAGATTTGTTGCTATATAGGTAATCAAATTGCTTTATCGTAGCTTATAATGATTGGAGGAATTGAGCTAATTGCCATCCCTCACATAACAGGCTTTGAGACTATTTTTAAGAACTAATTTTACTTGCGACTTGAAACAATTATGTAGTTTTTAATCTTCAAACTCTTCATTGTGAAAGGAACTGATTCCAATAAATATTGAGCATTTAATTATTACAAAGGGTGTTCGATTATCTAAAAGATAAAATGATTAATGATAACGGGAAATTATGCAGTTGACTCACTTTACCAAACTTGTGTTTCAGTGGCAATCCAGCCCTCTGGAACGCTGAGATAATGTCAACTTTATAATCCGTTATGAATATTCCCAAGTCCACATCTTTACTGTATGGAATGATATTGCACTGTCTGAACCATCCTAGAAAAATCAGACATGAGAATTTAGGGCAACATTGATTTTAGAAAGCTTCCTCCACTAAACTCCAAAATACTTGCAACAAACAAAGGCAAAAATCCATGAATTCAGACACGTCAGCAGTTCATCTGCAATTGCCTATATATGCAGCATCACTTTACAAAGTTTGACAAAATTGCAGCCAGACAGTTTGTTTTTGAAAGTGGAAAAAATTATAACCTGCTCATAATTTCACTTACCATACTAATGTTAAAAAAGAAATAAATAAATCGCTCGTTCCACTCGAAGTACAGACTGGAAATCAGTACCAGGATGTTCTCTTTTCTAACATCTTTCCATTCTGCTAAACAGTCCTTTTCTACTGTGTCTTTCAGTCTGCTGCTTATCAATATTTCCTTTTGTAGTCCAATCTATTTTCCACCCTATCTTAAAGATTTTACTTGCTAAATCATGTTTTCTACACTTCCCTATATTAAAACAATAACTAACTTCAAAAAGTATATAATTGGCTGTAAAGTGCTTTCGGATGTCCTGTCATGAAAGGCTCTATAGACATGCAACTTTCTATCTGGAAAAAAAACCCCACAAAATTAGAAGTGTTCGACTTATCAATGCTCACTTTTTTTAATAAACTATATTGACTCAACCACTTAATCTTTGCATAAATCCTCAAAGCTTAGATAATATATTTACCCATTCTCTCACATCTCTACCGTTCAACTCTACTTCCTTCCCCAAACGCAAAAAGCAGTAGTGCTCTGGAACTGCCAGCCTTATTTCTGACCTAGTACCACCTCCTCCAAAAAGAAGTCAATATCAACTTGACCATAACCATTCTTATAGTGAGTCTACCCTTTATAGTCAGAGCTCAGCAAAGGAAGTGAATTGGCAGGGGTTACATGTATGTCTGGGAGTAGGGTTTTTTTTTAGTTGGAAGAACATTTTTTGGTGCTGGTTATTTTTAAATTTGCATCCTTGGTTTGTCCCTGAAATTTTAATCAAATATTCTATTCACATCACGTGTGTCTTGCAACTTTATAGCCTCTCTCTGCTACCATTCTTTTACCAAATGTGATCCTTGTTTTGAATTGACAGAAATCCAAGATTATTAACTAATCCTTAGGACAACTAGTTACTGGTGTACGCAATTTTCTAACTGAACACATTTCTATTTAGCTCATGGTTTAATGGTCATTCCTGAGACTTCTCCATTCCAATGACTTGAGGGTCTTTCTGGCGTCTTTAACCTGACATCCATTTCTCCCTTATGGTGGCAATTTCCACCCAAAGTAATTTAATTACTGTACATCACTTTAGTCCGTCCATTCCATAAACTGCAAGGGACTGCTTATCTTCAAGGATTTGTAGGAATTTTAATACTCCCACACCTTTTCTAATGTTTTCACCCTGTTTCATTAGTTATACTATTTGTTACTGAATGCTTCCCAAAACAAATCTTAGTATGTTTTCAAAAAGCTATATAGAAATGGTACTTTACCTAGGCATGTTCCACTGCTGAGCCAGAATGGCACCTTCTGTCCATTCAATATCTTTGCAGCCAGATGAAGCAAATCCTTTGCCTTTTTTCTAAATTCCATAGCATCTTGTGATGTGTCCTCAGGGTATACCTATAATAAAAGTCGCACATGGGATATAAAATAGTAACGCTGAATCACTTTCTTTTAAAAATAGATACACCCTATGAATATAGCCAGTTTTTTTTTTTAAAAAGGCCTTGATACAGTATGTTCATATTAATTGAAATCTTTCCAATCCAACCAAGACATTGCAACCCTGAGATAAGGCAAAATTACGTGATGCGTGAACTGGCAACATATAATTAAAGTTGTAATCGAGTTAATAAATAAAGAATAAATCTGAAACTACATATACTTGGACAAGATATACCGCCCAGGGAAACATCAGGTATATACTGTTTGTGTAGTTATGCAAAAACGTACAAATTAAGCATACAATTAGGACATGACGATAAATGTGTTTGGCTTATGACAACTGCTGGACAGAATTCCATGAAGACATTTTTATGGTTTTTTCTGTATTAATTTGTGTAATCTGTACCTTTGACTCTTTAAACCTCCTTTCCAAGTTATGGACTGCTTTTGTGCTTTAAAGTCGTTTAATCTCAAAATAATCAATCATTACTTTCCCTTAAAAGTTCCCAATAAATCTTGTAAGAGTTCAATAAATACACCACAGAAGTAACTCTGTTCTACCATTCTAAATTCTGAATATATTGAACAAAAACTATAGTAATCTAATAGAAAAACTAGAGCATTGCTGCAGACACGTTTTATTGAAGCCTTCTGTCTTGCATTCATCAGTACATATGCAAAGATACCGATATAAAGGGGAATAACATTTTATACCATAAAGAGAGAAGTGCTGATTGGTTAGCAAGTTGACTTTAATTGGTGAATGCATTCAGAATGCATCAGTTAGATAATGACTGACAGTTAACTGTCAAGCTCTCTTAAAATTTAAAGAAGGAAAGTTAACTGATGATTGCCCTGAAAAATGAACCAGAGAATGACTCACCTATTCTGTTAAATGAAAACAGACTGTGAACATATTCTGTATAGTCATATGTAGCTTGCAGTATGCACAGGTGCACCAAACTGTGAGCCAGGTGAATGTCAAATTGGTTTAAAGTGCAGACAGAAATAACATTTAAACACACCATACCTTTTTCAACTTAACAAAATTGGCAAGAACCATTCACTGATTAATTCCTCAAGATGATACCTTGACCAATTAGAGTCATTGTGCCTTGTTTGATTTAAACAAAGCTTGGCAGTTAACTGTCAACATCTAACCAGTGCATTCTCAATGTCAATGTCTTCACCAAAATCCACTTGCCAATTAATCAGTACTCTCTTCAGTACAAAATACTGTTCCTTTTTACACTGGTAGTCTAGCAAATGTCTTGATGAGTGTAATACCAAAAGCTTTAACACTATGTTTTTTTCAGCAATACTGAAAAATACCTATAGATCCTTATTTTAATCACTGTAGTCCAAGCATTATTCACCACTGATTTTTCTTCAATTCATGTAGGTTAATGTTGAGATTTTATTTTCCATTTCGGTGTACACAAATTACTTTTTTTCTCCTCCTCCATTCTATTTTGCTACATATTTAACTCAACAGTGAAAAATCCTGCCTAAAAATTAACAAGGTGCATTAGGTTCAATTCCATTCTCTTCTCTAGCCCACCCTTTTTCAACTGCTCCTCGAATTGTGCATCCATTTCATCAAAACTAGGGAATATTTTGACCTACAGCAGAAAGTTAGTTACTTGATGCTGAACCTGAAAGTTTTTCAATACTCTACTTGCTATGGCTTTTTGTGACAACAAGACTCGGCCAAACCATCAAGAATTAATTGGCACACAAACAAACCTGATAAAACATCCTTGCTTCCTTGTATCTGCATTCAACAAACCTGGATTGTGAAACCTCTTCTAGAAAGTTTGCTATTTGCTTAGGAACTTGGATTTCTAATCCATCAACTGAAGTCAGATGTAGTTTAGGTCTGTAATATCAAATACAATGTTTGCAAATTAAATTCATAAACAGACCCTTCTCTCCCCTATTCACAGCTCTGTTTGAGAATCGCATTACAACATTAAATAACGCAAGAGAAAGCATCAAACAACAGTCTCTTTATCAGTTAAGAACACATTACACGTTTATATCTTCAGGCAATGACAAGGTATAAACATGCTTGATTGTGGGATCTCCCTGGCTGACAGCATCCTGTATTACTAATTCTATGTTTGCACTAAAAAAGTGAAGTTATTTAGGACGTCTGCAAATGCACATTTTTGAAGTATTTTTGAGGTAATATGCAATTTCTCCATGGACTCTCCAAGCCTGGAAAACAACTGATGGTAATTAGTAACTCTTGCAGAACTGCTTAATTTACCTTGTACAGCACATGCCAGTGAAACAGCTTTAATAGGTATCCCACTGCTGACTAATAACAGTTAGAGTTGCTACACACTTGTTGATCCTAAAATGTAATTCAGTCCACAAATACGTAAATGCTGGAGTTTCCAATCTAATAAATTTAAAATAAATAAAACTTACTGGGAATGTTAAAGTCTAATCAAGTGGGAGTACGTTTAATACTGTACATTAGAACTCAAGACATAAGAGCAGCTCCATGACTGTGCTTTTCTACTTTGATAAAATCAGAGCTAATCCTCAAACTCAATTCCACTTTCTTGTCTGATCCCTATATTTTTATTCCCTCAAGAGTTCACAGAAATCCATAGAAACCCTACAGTATGGAAACAGGCCATTCAGCCCAACAAGTCCACACTGACCCATTCCCCTACCTTTTCCTGTAAACCTACATTTTCCAAGGCTAATGCACCTAACCTACACATCCCTGCTCACTATGGGCAATCTCGCACAGCCAATCCACCCAACTTACACATCTTTGGACTGTGGGAGGAAAACGGCGGGAACCCAAACAGACACGGGGTGAACGTGCAAACTCCACACAGACAACTGCCCGAGGGCAGAATTGAACCCGGGTCTCTGGCACTGTGAGGCAGCAGTGCTAACCATTGAGCCACCATGCTCTATTGATCTCAGCCTTGAATGTACTTCGGGACTGAGCAACTACACATCTCTACAGTAGAAAATACAAACGATTCACACTGAGTGAAGAAATTTCTCAGGGGAAATAGCATTGCAATATTTCCTTTGTCAAGCCCTCTCAGAATCTTGCGTATCAGAGAATGTCCAATCAAGGACAGTGGTTGACAGCACTTATTAAGATAATGCTTGGAAATACCTATGCAATTTCCACAATACCAGCTTAAAAATTCAAGAATCCCACATGACAAATATAAAACTTGATTAATTTAATCGCCATGAATTGTAATCTTGCTAGAGATGATGCATGAACAGTTTCCAAGAAAGAACACATCATCACAAAGTTTAAAAAAGCATTGGCGTTATCATCTGCACAAAAAACAATGTGCATTTATTTAAATGTACAGTTCAAATAAAGATAGAATAACACACTAGGTTGCTAGGAGTCAAAACTATGTCCACACGTGTTTACCACTTTATCCTTGTTCTATAACCTGCTGCCTAATTAACCAAATTACTAACTTTTGGGGCTTTGATTTAGCCACACATCCTGAATCAGCTAGACTTCTCACATGACATTTCAGAAAGTACTTCATTGGCTGTGATGCATTTTGGGATATCCTAAGGTTCTGAAATTCACTGTACAAGTAGGAGACCTTTCTCTTGGAACAAACAAAAAAGAGAATAACTCCAGAAATCAAGCTGAATGTTATCAACATATCTTGCCTTCAACCAGCAGCACCCCTCTATCAGGTCTCGGACCACTTCGATTGTCCTTACTTGTTATAGGCTCCAGGATAACGCCCAAAATGCAGCTTGCGGAAATGGACAAAATTTTTGTCTGCATTTTGCTTGAGCCGCAGCTGCCCATGCCAGAGGAAATTGCCACTCCTTTCATAAAATACCACCAAGTGGATGGCATGATTCTGCAGCTTAAAGATGCAGTGCAATGGAATTTCTGTACCAGAGAGACCATCCATTCCAGCCAATCGCGGATCTTTACCACTCAACTCCATCCATTGAAAACCCTCCTCTTCAGCTTCTTTCTTCAGAAACACCTTAGGTGAATCAAAAAAAATATTTTTCGGAAGTGAAAGCATATAAAATCTGAAATTGGCCTCCAATCAGTATTTAAACATCATTTGATTTGACATGGCCAAAATCGGTGCAAGAGGTTTCTCTTCATCTTTTGAAGCAACTGGGCATCTTGCATCAGGATTAGTGTTAACCAAATGGCTTTGTAGATGGCTTAAACCTAACTTATAGTGAACAAGGTTAAACAGAAGCAAATAGAAAAGATGTAAAACAGGTTATAATGAACACACGTAACTATTTCAACTTTTCTTTCCCTCTGAAATTAACTGTTGAAATCATTTCAACACATTGCAAAATGAAGAAAACATGTTTCAGAATCCCAAAGTGCAGCCTCTCAAAATGAACATTTTGAGGTGCCAGACAGCTGTCCGTAGCCCAGACAACTAGTTCAGTTCAGAACAAACAGGTATTGTCCTCAAGTTTACTTCATAAATGCTCAAAATCTTCAGTTAGAAATTAAATATTTTTCAAAATTTTAAAAATTTAAATCTATCTCAGCTAGAACCTTAAGCGTAAACAGATGTTGAATTCTATAACGCTAATTAAGAATTAAAATTTAAAGAATTCTGCACCATTTTCGACAATAAAGGAAATGTTGATTTGATTTGTTTTAGTTCCAATAATTACTTAGGTTTCAAACCAGAAGTTCTATAGCGTCATACAGCTGTACAGCATGGAAACAAACCCATCAGTCCAACTCATTCATGCCAACCAGATATCCTAAATTAATCTGGTCCCATTTGCCAGCATTTGGCCCATATTAATCTAAATCCTTCCTATTCATATACCCATCCAGATGCCTTTTAAATGTTGTAATTGCACCAGCCTCCACCACTTTCTCTGACAGCCTATCCCTTACGCGCACCACCCTCTGCGTGAAAAAATTTCACCTTAGGTTACTTTTAAATCTTTCTCCTCTCACCTTAAACCTATGCCCTCTAGGTTTGGACTTCCTTACCCCAGGGAAAAGACCTTGGCTATTCACCTTTTCCATGCCCCTCATTATTTTATAAACTTCTATGAGATCACCCCTCAGCCTCCAGGGAAAATAGCCCCAGCCTATTCAGCGTCTCCCTATAACTCACACCCTCCAACCCTGGCAACATCCTCGCAAATCTTTTCTGAATCCTTTCAAGTTTCACAATATCCTTCCTATAGTGGGGAGACCAGAATTGTACGCAGTATTCCAAAAGTGGCCTAACCAATATCCTATACAACTGCAACATGACCTCCCAACTTCTATACTCAATGCACTGACCAATAAAGGCAAGCATACCAAATGCCTTCTTCAATATCCCATCTACCTGTGACTCTTCTTTCAAGGAACTATGAACCTGCAGTCTAAAGTCTCTTTGTTCAGCAACACTCCCCAGGACCTTATCATTAAGTGTTTAAGTCCTGCCCTGATTTGCCTTTCCAAAATGCAGCACCTCATATTTATCTTCATTTCATACTATAAAAAAAACTTCCCAATGGGAATAATTAAGCAAAATTGGTTTTAAAAATCCAAAGGCACTGGTCATAAAGAACAAAGAACAGTATAGCACAGAAACAGGCCCTTTGGCCCACCAAGACTGAGCAGACACATGATGCCTTTCTAAACTAAAAATCTTTTGTTTCTATGTGGTCCATTCCTTGTCTATTCATATATCTGTCAAGCTGCCTCTGAAATGTTGCTGTTGTATTCACCTCCACCATCTCCTCTGCCAGCACATTCCAGGCACTAACCACCATGTGTAAAAAAACTTACCTGTCACATCTCCTTTAAATGTGCCCCCTTTCGTCTTAAACCTACGTCCCTGAGTAACTGATATTTCAACCCTGGCAAAAAGACACAGACTATCCATTCTATCCAGCCCCATAATCATTTTATGAAATTCTATCAGGTCGCCCCCTCATCCTTCAACGTTGAAGTGAAAACAAACCAAGTTTGTCCAATCTCTCCTCATAGCTAATACCCCCCAAAACCAGGCAGCATTCTGATGAACAACTTCCGTGCCCTCTCCAAACTAGGCAGCATTCTGACGAACCATTTCTGTGCCCTCTCCAAAGACTCCACATCCTTCTGGTAGTGTGGTGACTAGAAATGTACACAATATTACAGAGGTGGGCTCACTAAAGTTCTATACAGTTGCAACATGACATGGCAATTTTTAAATTCTATGTCTCGACTAATGAAGGCAAGCAAGCCATATTCCTTCTCGACCATTTTATTCAGTTGTGTTGCAACTTTTAGGGAACTATGGACCTGTATGCTCAGATCCCTGAAATATAGTGACATTACAACGGGTTCTGCCATTTACTGTATACTTCCCTCCTGCATTAGATCTCCCAAGGTGCATCACATTTGTCCGGATTAAACTCCACATGTCACTTCTCTACCCAAGTCTTTAACTATCTGAATCCTATTGTATCGTCTAGCAATCCTCCTCACTATGTGCAGTTCCCCCAATCTTTGTGTCATCTGCAAACATTAACCATTTGTATATATTACAAACAACAGGGTTCCCAGCACTGATCCCTGCAGAACGCCAATGGTCACAGATCTACAGTCAAATAAACACCCTTCCAGGGCTACTCTCAGTCTTCTATGATAAAGCCAGTTCTGTATTCATCTGCACCAGCTCACCATGGATCCCAGGTGACTTCGCCTTTTGTGTCAGCCTGCCATGAGGGACCTCGTCATTGGCCTCGCTAAAGTCTATTTAGGCAACATCTACCATCTTGTCCTCATCAAACATCTTTAACACTTCCTCAAAAAACTCAATCAAGTTTGTCAGGCATAATCTCCCTCGCACAAAGCTATGCTGCCTATTGCTAATAAGTCTAAATTCTTCCAAATATGAGTAAATTCTATTCCTAAGAATCTTCTCTGATAACTCTCACTCCCAGATTATGCCTGTTGCCCTTCTTAAACAAAGGAACAACACTAGCTATCCTCCAGTCCTTTAGGACCTCTCCTGTGACTAAAGAGGATACAAAAATTTCATACAAGGCCCCAGCAATTTCCTGACTTGCCTCCCTCAGCTTTCTGGGATAGATCCCATCAGGTCCTGGGCACTTAAGGTTTTTTAAAAGATCCAACACATCCTCCTTTTTTTGATATTGGCATGACCCAGCATATCAACATACCCCTCTCTAGACTCACCATCCACCATGTCCTTCTCCTTTGTGAACACCGATGCAAAGTATTCGTTAAGGACCTTACCCACTTCTTCCAGCTCCACTCAAATTCCATCCTTTGTCCTGGAATGGATCTGCAATTTTCCTCGCTACTCTCTTGCTCCTTATATATATAAAAAATACCTTCGGATTTTCCTTAATCCTGCTTACCAAAGACATTTCATGGCACCTTTTAGCCCTCTAATTACTTGTTTGAGTTATTTCCTACTGCCTTTGTATTCTTTGAGAGCTCTGTCATGTTAACATTTTATTTACAAATACGAAGTCCTATAATACCTTAAACATGTAAAATGTTCATCACACGTATAGTCACATCATAAACAATAGACAAAGCAAAGGACTTTACCCTCTTCCATTTAGCACTACATCATTCATAACATTGTAATGGCACTTACTTCATTTTTCCAAAATTTGTCCAATAGTGCAAATGTGGTGAACTCTCTGGGTGTACACAGGTACTTGCAGTTCAACCTACTGTCCGTATTTTCGCTCTGAATATCCTCATTCATCCGTCCCAAAACCAGTGGATCAATGAGATATAATGGAATGTTGTGGATTGATGCTAAACGCAGAAACTTTTTGACCACTTTCTAGGAAAAAATACACAAGCAGCATTAACGAAATTACAACAAAGCATCAACCAGTTAATAAGAATACACAATCCTTTATACAATATGGCAACATTATTATTGATTTAGTCAAATGAATGAGCATGAGTCATTATACAGACTGGACATAGGTTAGTGGGTAGTTGAAAGCATTTAGGTTGAAACAAAGACTGAAAGTGAACTACAGAAGACTGTACATGTTGATGCCAGGTTTGGTTTTAAATGGGTATTGTAGATGTCTAATGGGCATAGAGATCAAGGGTAGTGAAAGCATGCAAATGTTTATGCTTTAGTTTATATTAGGAACTTTTCCTACCTTTGTTCACTCAGTGGAACAATAAGTCATTTCAATTATGTTGCAGATATGGAAAATGAAAGTACATAGAACAAGCTCAGTACAATCCAGTCTGCTCTCCTGGACCATACAGAGATCACTTATCTCCATTTTGCTGTGACAATAATCTACTCGACAAGAACGTGAAGACCAGGCCATCTAGCAAATTTCACTGAAATTCCAATCCCACTCCAGAAGAATACGTGACCACCACTCCATGGAGATTCTAAAAGACTAAATGCGTTGTTTTGCATGTTTCAGCTGGGTTGGAATTCATTACAGTAACTTGTCACAGAAGTATTTTTGTGGTGGGGAGTTTTGCAGACAAAGGAGAGAGGGAGAAGGGGAAAACAAAAATCCTTGAGATGGATACAGAAGAGATTCAAAAGATATGTTATCTTCTTACTAAAAAACTCAATAATAGAATAGTCTGCCATTTCCTCTGTAGAATTTAAGAATGAGGGCCAGGAATATACAGTCCCTCTAACCTGCTCCACTATCAAGAAAATCACGGCTGACCCTCTGCATCAATTCCAGTTTTTTCACCCTGACCCCACATCCTTTATATTTCCTAATATTAAAAACTCTATCAACTTCAATTTTGAGTAAATTCCACAACTGAATGTTCACAGTCTTCTAAAGGAGGGAATTTTAGAAACACTCAATCTGGACAAAGACAGTTGTCCTCATCTCAGTTGTAAATGGCTAAATCCTCATTTGAGACTATGTCACCTTGATCACAACTCTCTGGCCACAGGAAACTGCCCTTCAGCAGCTTTCAGAATTTGCTATTTCAATATGATCATCACTCATTCTTTTACGCACTAGGGAACATAGGCCAACTCACATCTCAGGAGCTAGGCATTGATGTGTGATCAAAAATGGCTTGTGAAATGAATCCCTTTGGAGAGTGAAATCTTATTGATATTAAGAGAAGCACTGCAAACTGCACTCACTAAACCACAGAACAGTAACAAAGTGTGAATGATATACATACCCAATGCACACTGTCTTCCATGGAATAACTTTATTTGGAACCAGAAGTCTCAGGTTAGATTACCTCCCTCAACTAAATGAACTGATGCTGGTTGTGCTAGTTTAAATGTCTTCGTGTCCTTGAGCTGGAGACTTTTTTTTATTATTACATGTTCAAGGGATGTGAGTATCACTTGCTAGGCCAGAATTTATTGCCCATCCCTAATTGTCCTTAAGGTGATGGTGGGGGCCTGCCCCAGTGAACTGCTTCTGTCCTTGGGGTGTAGAGGCAGTTGCTGTGCTGTTACGAAGTTGTTCCAAGACTTTGACCCAGCAACAGTGAAGGAATGGCAAAATAATTTCAAATCAAGATGTTTGTGACTTGGAACAGACCTTGCAGATGGTGAAATGATTCTCAACAGACAAAAATTACAGAAGCAAAAACAGAAGTTGCTGGAAAAGCTCAGCATTTCTGGCAGCATCTATGAAGAAAAAAATCAGAACGTTAACTCTGACTTTTTCTTCATAGACGCTGCCAGACCTGCTGAGCTTTTCCAGCAACTTCTGTTTTTGTTCCTGATTTACGGCATCCACAGTACTTTCTGTTTTTAAAAATTACAGAAGCCCTCCCTGCAACTCCCCAAACGAATGCCTCACAATTCCCTTGATGATCATGCTCAGCCATAAGTCACATTTCATAAGCAGTGTTCATGAGGTCTGAATTCCTAGACAATATCCACGTGGCATTGCAACCAGCATGTTCCTTTTCCTCTATCACCAACAACATTCTCCTCAGTCCTTCTCACCAATTTACACTGCATTTCCTCATTATCAAACACCCTACTTAAAATATAAATAATTAAACTGATGCATCAGTACAATACAGAGGCATTACTGCTAAAACAAATTGTTAAATCAGATAAATTTGAAAATGCTTTGACACTGTCTGAAGAAAATTAGGTTATTTCTCCCTGGGTCCAACCAATATTCTTAACTCATTGAACAAACTAACTGGTTATTCATTTACTTACTGTTTATTAGATCATGCTGTGTGCAAAATGCTAGTTCTTCATACATAACAGTAGCTACACCTTAAAACCATTCACTGGACATGAAATGTGTTGGAATACCCGAGCTGGACACAGATATAATTGCAAGGTCTTCCCACATTTCCTTTGCCAAAACAGAACAGCAATGAAATGCAAATGATATACATACCCAATGCACACTGTCTTCGATGGAATAACTTTCTTTGGAATCAGAAATGTAAGACTCATTCTAAAACAAACAACAATTTTTTTTAAAAGATTCCTTGTAAATCCTAATCTATGTACATAACACTGAAATACAGCCCATAAAAACATGGGAATAAGAATATTTTTAGCATTTTACTCATCTAGAGTTCTGTGAACAGAGGTTCTGAAATGTAAATAGGCACTTTCAAGAATTGTACAACATTTGACTTTCTTTGTGAAATCACATGAATGTAAAAGCAGCCCCTAGTGGCAGAAGGAGCTGCAGCAACTCATTTTACTTCTCTATCAGACTTTGCAGAGAAGCACGGTTTTTGCTTCCAGTACTCCAATCAGGTGAGATTTTCAATTTCTCTCAGAACTGTTTAGGACTACCATAACAGGCATGCTGTCTATCATGGTCAGCAGAATCTGATAAATAATCAGAGCTTAAAAGGTCATGTATGTTGCACACAAACTAACAGCAAAAAGACACCTATTTATTGGACACAACATGAATCACAAAATGCATATTGCTTAATTCTGCTATTCTTGAAGTGCCTCTTCGAGAATCTTACAATTCTAAAAGGTGGGGCACTGTCCAGCCTGAAGCAGGCAGGTATCTGAAAGCAAGGGTGAGAGACTGTTTCACGTAACCTTCTCAGTGATAGCCCTTCACACAAAGGCAAAATGATAATTGCACAGCAGAACCCAGCATAACAAAGCAGTTAGAGAGAAATAGGTTGAAATCAATATGCCATTAAGTGTAAAAGATTTTTTTTAAATTCACAAGGTAGGCATTTAGAGAAACACTGTATACATTGTGTTATTCCATTATTCAAAATAAGAGATGTGGTATTTATTTTAAAAAGATGTAAAACAGAACTCCCCAATTACCATATCCTGTGTGCCAACTTATAGTTAGCCCGTCTGTAATTCATACCTAATTATCAAACAATGAATTTTGACAGAACCACAGAAAATGTTACAGCAGAGGTCATTTAGCATACTGCATCTGCACTGGCTATCCAATGGGAATTAAGACTTTGCGCCATTCTCCTGCCTTTATCCCCAAACCACACGTTTTCAATTCATATAATCATCTAATGTTGCCTTGAATGCATCAATTGAGCCTGTCTCCACTATACATCCAGACAATGTAATTCTGACCCGAATAACTCTTTACATGAGAAAGCATTTTTTCACATCATATTTGCTACGTTTGCAAATCACTTTAAATCCATGCCCTCTTGTTCTCAATCCTTTTATGAGCAAGAACAGTTTATCCCAGTCTACTCTTTCCTCACTGCTTATGATTTTCAAAATCTCTACCAAATATCTATTTAGCCTTCTTCTCTCCATGGAGACCAGTCCCAACCTCTCCAATCTATTCTCTTAGCTGAAACTTCTCATCACTGGAACTATTTTGTAAATCTCTTCTGCATTGTCTCCATTGTGTTCACATCCTTCCTGTAGTGTGGTGCTCAGAACTATACACTATACTCCAGCTGAGGCATAACAAGTATCTTGCACGAGTTCAGCATTACCTCCTTGCTCTTTTATTTATGCACCTATTAACAAAGCCCAGGATACCATATGCTTTATTAACTGCGCTAACTATCCTGCCACCTTTGGTGATTTATGCATTATACACCTAAGTTCCTCTGCTCCTGAATTCACTTAATTATTGTACCCTCTATTTGATATTGTTGGCTCACGTTCTTCTTTCAAAAATACATATATCAGGAAACGCAAGTGTTCAAATTGACCCCTGCCCAAAAGGTATGCATTGACCACTACTCTGATTCCTATTACTCTGCCATATTTGCATCCACATTGCTATTGTACCATTTGGTCCATGAGCTACAACTTTTCTTAAGTTTGTTTTATTAGGCACTGTGTCAAATGCCTTTGAAAATCCATGTATACCACATCAACAGCATTACCCTCATCAATTTTGTTATCTCTTCAAAAATTCCAGCAAGCCAGTTAAATGCAAGTCCTCCTTTAGAAATCCTGCCTGGCTTTTCCTAATCAACCTAACTTTTTCTAAAGTGACTAATAATTCTATCCTGATTTATTGTTTCTAGAAGCTACCCCATCAGTGAAGTTAAACTGACTGATCTGTAATTGCTGTGATTGTCCTTACAAATGTTTCTGAACATAGGCACAACGTTTACAATTCTCCAACTCTCTGACACCACCGACTATGGGTAAATTGGGAAGATTATGGCCAGTGCCCCTGCAATTTCCATTCCAACTTCGTTCAATCTCATCCAGTCCTGATACATTGTAAATTTTAAGTATCCATAGTAGCCTAAGCAACATTTGCTCATCAGTTTTGAACCCTTTGAGTGACAGAGTTTTCTTCTCTGATATAATGGTCCAAGTAGTGACTACTTTCTTGGTAGGCAGCTGCAAAATATTGACTTTACAATGGGATTGGGAACAGTCAATTCAATTCTATCTGCCATTGTACTGAAGGATTAAAAATATGAATTTTAAGAAACAATACCCTCAGGAAGACATGGAATTTAAATTTGGAAAAATAAATTTTATTTTTAAAACCTAACGTAAATTTTTGAAAGTGTGGTACAGTTTGACCACTTCACACCAATCCCTAATCCATGTCTAGACAATTAAACTCAGCTGGGCAGCAGTGGGTTTTTATGATTAGTCTAGTACCTTACGGACAGCTGTTTACATCTGTAGATGCTGGCTGCTGTACAACAGCTATTGGTGTTATACATGTAGATGCTTACTGAGATTACAGTTCACTATCAAATGAAAATTTAGTGAAACAAAACTTCAGATTAAAAACAGCATTACAAAGTAACAAAATCTAAATTTAAAACATATTCTAGGAGAGAAATGCTACACTTGATCTGAGGCTCCTACCTATTCACTTCAACATCATCGCGCAAACTTCTAACACCTAGACGAACAAGGGTAACACATACATGAAAATACTACTACCTCCAGGTTCCCCTCCAAGTCTTACACTATGTTGAGTTGAAAATATATTGCTATTGGGTCAAAATCCTAGAACTACCTCCCTAACACCACATTGATTGCAAAGCAACTCACCATTGCACTTTGAACAGCAACAAGAGATAGGTAATCATTTTTGACTCTAGCAAGGGCACCCACTTCCCTAGAATTACTAAATCTCACAAAACTCCTCCTGTGTAAAAAATCTGGTGTTTGCATTTTTCCTATTAGTTTAATAAATGTTATCATAATGACTAAAATGCTCAATGTAATACTTACTTTTGATGAAAAGTACTCATTATAATAATACAGCTGAAACAACAGGAAAATGAAACTTATCACAGTTAGCAGGATCAAAATGATGGTCTTATTGATTCGAGGCATTGGTCATCAATTATCCTGTCTTCCAATAACTGGAAAAGAATAAAACTCTTCAGAAGTGATACAAGCCACTTGAATTGAATCAGATCAGTCCATTGTTGCTATACTAGACATAGAACACCGTTTTACTACAACTTAATATATATCACCTTTAACATAAAAAAGGGGGCTGAGTAGCTCAGTTGGCTGGACAACTGGTTTGCAATGCAGAGTAACAGCAACAGCACAAGTTCAATTCCTGTACTGGCTGAGGTTACCATGAAGGACAATCCTTCTCAACCTCTCCCCTCACCTGCGGTGTGATGACCCTCAGGTTAAATTACCACCAGTTCTCTCTCTTAAATGAGAGAGCAGTCCTAAGGTCCAGTAGGGCTATGGCAACTTTACCTTTACCTAACATAATGAAATATGTTCATAGGGACATAATAAAACAAATCTAACACCAAAGGAAGGAGACAGACATTTAAGGAGGGAATTCTAGAGTTTTGGACAGCAAAAAGGCATAACCACCAATGGTTAAAAAAATTAAAATATGGGGATGCTCAAGAGGCCATAATTAGAGGAGCACAGATACCCCTGAGGGTTGTAGGGCCGGAGGAAGTTAACAAGATAGACCGTGGCATAGGCATGGAGAAGTTTGAAAATAAAGAATGAGAATTTAAAAGTTAAGATTCTGCTCAAGTGCCATCCCAATATTGATGGATGAATCAGATGTGATGTGATTTAGGCTACAGGCAGCAGAATTTTTTGGATCACTTCAATTTGTTGAGGATAGAATGTGAGAAGCTAGTTGAATGTGCATTGAAATAGTTTGAGTCAAGGTATAAAAAGGGTAGATGAGCATCAAATCAGCTGAGACCAGATGGAACTAAGCAATATTATGCAAGTGGAAACAGTCTGTCTTGGTACGACTGTTGATGTATGGTCAGAACATCATCCCAGTGCAAATGTGACATCAAATTGCTAAGAGCTATGTTTTCAAAACTCAGGTGGGACAAACTAAACTATGAGTCACGTAGAACCTAACTTAAATCAATGTCAATGTTGACACAGTGTGGAGCTAGAGGAACACAGCAGGTTAGGCAGCATCAGAGGAGTAGGAGAGTCAAAGTTTCGGGCCTAGACCCTTCTTCACAATGATGAATGGGTGCGCGCGCGAAAGAGAGAGGTGAAAATATGCGCGCATGTGCGTGCAATTTCACTCCCTCTCTCTCACACACTTTCTTCCACCACCTCTACTTCCCGCACGGAGGCGCATCCTACCCCCTTTTATGTCCCGCGCGCACACATTCACCCCCTCTACCTCCCACTCACGGATCCAACCCCTCTACCTCTCACACACACATCCACTCCCTCTACCTCTCGCGCACGTGTACACATTCACTTACTCTATCACTCGTGTGTGCGCAACCCATTTACTCCCTCTAGCACACGCGCGCACACGTCCACTCCCTCTATCACGCGTGCGCACACGTCCACTCCCTCTATCACGTGTGCGCCCGCGCCCACATCCACTCCATCTCTCTCGCGTGCGCGCGCACATCCACTCCCTCTATCTCTCTCTCGCGCGCGCGCGCACATCCACTCCCTCTATCTCTCTCGCGCGCGCGCACGTCCACTCCCTCTATCTCCCTCGCGCGCGCGCATGTCCACTCCCTCTATCTCTCTCGCGCACGCACGCATTCACTCCCTCTATCTCTCTCGCGCACGCACGCACGCACACATTCACTCCCTTTATCTCTCTCGCGCACGCACGCACACATTCACTCCCTTTATCCCTCTCGCGCACACACGCACACATTCACTCTCTCTATCTCTCTCGCGCACGCACGCATTCACTCCCTCTATCTCTCTCGCGCACGCACGCACACATTCACTC